ACACACACACAATTACACACACACACACACAATTACACACACACACACACACACACAATTACACACACACACACACAATTACACACACACACCACTTAGGATGACCTATATTTAAATCGATGCAAGGAAGAAATGAGGGCATAGAAATAAATTTAATGAAGATAAAAGATTGATTTGTGTAATTAACAAAATTATTTCATCCTCCAACTCTGCCCAAATTCCATAATGAAAATGCAAAAGTCAAAGAATATTGTTCACCATCTTAGCTGTCAATATCTATATTTGCACTGTCCATGGGCCCTCCATCTCCAAGGCTATGATGACACAAACATTTGTAATCTAGTTGAAATTGTTAATAACAACCATCATATATAGTATAGTCAATGAAAATTCAGAGAGGATTTATCCCACAGTTTAGTTTCCATTCTTAATATTCTTTAGAGGTTTAATGTAAGTGTACAAAACCTCAATCAATTATTGTCTCTTACTTCTAAAAACTGAACAAATGCTGCTACAACAGCAAATACTCTCTCATATTGAGAGCGTAGGCTTCTGTGGCCAGAGTAAGTACTTACTTGGCTATCCGGGAGATGCTGCGTCCAGAACACAGGTGCCAACTCTGAGCAATAACCACGCCCTGATCAAAGTCACAGAAAAGTTACAGAAACGTTGTCGCCTGAGCCCTGGACGCAGCAACTCCTGGATAGCCAAGTAAGTACTCTCTTATATTATTAGTAATGATAAAATCATATTATAAAATTGGTACTTTTTCCTACTAATACTTCAGCAATCTCTTGGAAAACTCACCAACTGAGGACTGCATGATTTTAAAAAATATTTAATTTAAAAAAATGTTTAATTTATGAAAATTAAAAAGTTTTAATGAAAGTGGCACTAATACCACTGTGTATTGCGTTCCATCCTTCCAAACGTTCAGAGCAAAAATTTGGAACTAGTTCAGAAAATTTGGAAAAGGTCTTCTTGGAAAGTACCCCCAAATCTTAAAAAGTTATATTTCCATAGAGCTGCAAGTTCAGCTACATCAATTCGTGATATTAATTTCAGTGAAAATCCTGTGTTCAGATTAACCAGTAGTAAGGTTAGCAAATATCCACGTTTTTAGGGTAAATTTTACTTTCCACATAGATTTTCAAAAATTTCCAACAAGTCCTAAATTCTGTCTTAGTAAATCTTTTTCTTGGCGTTTTTCTTCACTACAAATTTGGATTTGGAACGCACTAAATACACACTAATGGCCAAAACTGAAACCCACTGAGTAATTTCTTTGACATATCAAGGAAATTACACTCTGCCACTATTACCTCCACAACTTGTAAATCAAGGACCTCCACACATCGTGTTCTTTCTTCTACATATAGATATTTAAGTAGCATATATATTGTTATTTATAGTTAGGCACATGCTCGCTTAATTTTTTATTATATTTATTTCAGATATCTTTACAAGAAGTAAAAGAAAACGTTTGCTTAACATTGCATACATGGAGAAGTATTAATGTTTTTGCAAAAAATATTAACTGTGGGAGGTTGAATGTATGATATGCACACCTACAATGCTCGCGTTGGTGGCATAATCTGGATGGCAGAACTCAGAATTACAATTTAAAAAAGAAGAAAATCTGAACTTTCTTTGGGAAACCAGAGCAGGTTTTCAAAATTATTTCATAAAAGAAGGGGAGGGGTTGGGAAAATGTGTTAGCACCAAAAGTGCTCTTGCGTTTCACATTGTTGAACATGACAATAAGTTATGGATTAATAGCTATATGGACTGTAATCCAGAACTATTACAGTAATTTTTTTTAATTCTAAAATTACTGCCAAGCTATCAATATCATCTTGCATTAACTAATGCTACCATAAATTCTACTTAGTTGCAATATTTTATTAAAAATTAAAAAATCTGTAACAGAAATGCTCTTCATAAACAACTCATCAGATGTTAGTAATTAATAAAATAATAAAGTATTCTTCATTTTGACTAAGAATCGAGATGGCAGATCATTAAGGCCAATGTCAAAAATAAAATGTACCTGCTGAAAATATCTCCACATATGCAAGCTAATCAGCAGAAATTGAAGCTTTCAAAATAAAGGTATTTTGCTGGTAATAATTGCAACATCTTTGGAGATTTTTTTAAAAATGCAACAACAAATATGTTTTTTGCCATTCTTAAAAGAAAAATTATTAAAACATTTTTTGTGCAGAATGTTCTGCACAGGATTAAATAACTTCATGCAGCATGGCACAGATCCACTTGATAACAATATACATGTTCAATTATAAAAATATTTAACTGCTTTTTAATTTACTTTGCCTATAACCTCCCTAAAGGAAATCTGAGGGTTTGTAGACATGGAATACTAAACTCCTGCTCAGTCATAGTAAAACTCAGTCTATTTTTGAATGTGCTAAACAGGATTACATGCACATGTACTCTGCACTTAAATATCTTTAACTGGACCTCCTGTAGCCATAAAGAATTTTTTAACTACTCAAGTAAAGAAATTTTTTCACTGCATGTGCAGCTAGATTAGCATTTTTTTTCTCTCCAAATTTGATAAACTAGAAAGATAATATAGTTGTCTTCTTGATGTAATTGAGATAATTTCATCAATGCATGATCATCCTTAGGAAAAGAACAGGAAAAAGATACCCTAAAGACCTGAATGAAATGGCTGATGCTTGTTACTATATAAGAAAATTCTGGTACAATACGGAAACTGTACAAAGGATGTTTTGATAGCTTGAACAAGTGGATTAAATCGTTCAACATTTTAATAGACTAGGTTTAAAGGAACTCTCAGGAAAATGTGAACTGCATCATCTTTCTGTGAGGAAAAGGTGTTCAGTTTTATGACTATGTGCTAGGACTAATGTACTTTTTTGAGAAAAAAAAAAATTGCTGCATTATAAGGAAAGGAAACAGGCATTGTGTCATAAGAAATGGTATGACCACATCGATTACTTTAAAAGTGAACAACAGTAATCAGATATTTCGTAAAATCGGCCATTACTATTTTGCATTATATTCATAAACACACTGAGGAGTCCATATCTATCAGGAGTTATTGTTTGCTGCAAAAAGCTGCTGCTGATGAAAATGATGGTGGTGGTGATGATGATGATGATGATGATAATAATAAATAAAAATATAATAATATAATACAGGCCCAAAGAAATAACCCCCTAAAAATTAAATGACAAAAGGAGCCATCACAACATATCCCCTTTGCCAGATTTTTAAAGGTTTTTTATTTTTGTTTTAAACTTCGAATTCCAGCATACAACAAGTAAATGCCTGAGGTGGCAATTTCAAAATGTCACAAAATGAATATTAAGAAGATAAGAAGAATACTAGAAATGAAATAATTTACGCAAATCTAGTTTTTGCTGGTTCACCTGACACCATTATCTTAATATCAAAGTATTTTTTTGCATTATCTGCATGGAGGAACTAACACTGAACAAAACTGTTGTAATATGCAGTTTTAATTATCACAAGCCCTAGTAATTTTAAGTGTGATTCAACATGTATGTAAATTCTTGAGCAATAAGGTGTCATCACTGACCTTTGCGATTTAAATTCCTTCATAATATCCAGAAAGTCATTGTAGACTTGGGGTTGGTTGCCAAATTTGTATTTGACCTGGTCAAGATATGACAACGCATCCTCCACTTTTAGGCGTTGAAACTGTTGCTGCTGTTGCTGGCCAGCAGCCTGGGCTGCTGCAGCACCAGCAGAACCTAGTCCTGCTGCTGGTGCTGCAGCACTGCCTGTTGGGGTCAGACACCCATGCACCTGCTACGGAAAACAGAAAGGAATGCAACAATAGAATATTGAAATCAAAATGCAGTTAATACTCAAACATTTACACACTGCCTCAGCTATGCACAATTCACAATATTCAAAACCAGCATAAACATTTTAATTTTACAACTGCAGATTATCCCAGGATGAGTTGAGAAACGGTGTCCTTAAAGTTGAAACTTGTTTAATTCACATTAGTGATAAGTCAAATTATATCTGCCACACTGTCTAACAAATGGAAATTATGACATACAACTTTGCATTGTTTGCATTCAGCCTCTATTGGATAGAGCGCTTTATGCCTTACAACATTTCTGGAGCAGCTAGGATATAAACAAAAGATTTGGGTTTGTCAGTACCACAGTCACAAAGTTACCTAATATAGACAGGGAAGGGGTCTATTTAATTTATATAAATTTAACTTAAACCAATTAAGATACTAATAATCTGTTTAATCTGAAATTACACAGTGATAATGAAACTCATACATATCATTTACCTCGCCATCATGTGCACTCTTTTGTACTTTGCACACACTACTTCAGAGCTCAAAACACTGAAATATATATCGGGTGGGACTCCTCATCAGAGCAGAGAACCAATTTTACAACAGCTAGCCCTTGTATATGAAAGTGCACAAAGGGTTAACACCACCTAAAAATACGGCCATCCATTCTGTTGAATATAAAAAGGGTCGAATTCAGAGTTCCACTTTATTGACAGTGCTTCGTTTGCCGAGTGAAACTTAAACATAGTTAACTGGAAAGAAGTCCAATTTAAAACACACTAATAATAGGCATTGTGAAAATTTATAACCAAAGGGGGATTTTAAAGAAATGTAGTCTTTTTTTTCTCTTTACACTTTAGATCAATGCCTTTTAGCAAATTAATATTATGCTACGACAAAAGGAATTGATCCATTTTAAAACTTTTTTGCATTTTTCAATTTTTTATATTATTCCAATTTTTAAACCTTTTTTGCCGATTTCATCAATTTTAATATAATTTTAATAATACTTGTTTTAAATAATATATTGAAGACATGCAACAAATGTTTACCACATATTTTTCTGAACAGCCTATTTGATTTCTTCACTCAGAAATAGTAATGTCAGCCATTATGAGCATGTACTCTAAGGTTCCTTTGAAGTCTATCAGCACCATTACCAGTTCAGCTGCTTTCACAAAAACGAGATAGATTTCTTGGTAAGAATAGTCCAAACCAAAAGTTTACAAGCAGAGTCCACTCACTCGAATGAAAGGAAGAAGCCTTGATTATATCACTAACATACCCAACAACAGAAGAGTTGTTAATTGGAACTGTTCTGGATCACATTTTTGCGTCATTTTTCTTTACTTTTAGGGGATTTTAAAAACATTTTAACAGCATAAGAAAATTTTAAGAGTATCATTTTTTGTTGATTCAAGTCACCAAAATCTGCCCCCTATTTATATCCATGCCAAAAGAAAGGTATACCCGGTGATGATAAATAGCAAATGGTCGGGAACCATAAGAGGATCTCTGACCAGAAAGCAAGTTAATAACCATATCAACAGTTTTTTTAACTCTCTAAACTTTCTATACAAGTGAAGACAATGACTCTCAGAAAGATCCTTAGTCGAAAAATACACATAAGGAAAATTTATTAACTTATATTGAAAGTGGTTCAAAATTATGTTTTACTTGTGAAAAATAGTATTACTACAGACAGAAAATAACACATTTAAATTTTAATATTCATGTCACCCATTTAAATCCACTTTACAAAATTTATGACAAGTTCAAACAATGTTGAAAACAATGACAGAGTTAGAAATTGAAAGCATCATTCACCTCACCAAAGCTGAAACGCTTCATCTGCTTTCAAAGTGGATGCAGAACAGATATAAGCAAGTGGTATGTTATTGATCTTCAGAAAACACACCCTTTTGTAGAATGTAGTTTCAGAAACTTACCAGCATAGCATTACTACTATAATTTATGTGTGCATGCCCTTGCCACTGGCCAACCTGTTATGCAATCGTGGAATGAACATATGGTATTATGAGGTTCTCAGCATATTGCCTTGGTATTGCCATGCTTAATATATTGCATGCAAATACTTATAACCAAACTGTTATATAGTGATATATGCACGTGCTGAAAAAATAATATAAGTTATCCTAACAGTAATGAATTCATTTTAAGCCAGCACTTTCGTATACTTTATGGAAAACAAAGTTCGTGGTTTCTGGTTGTTCACATTTGCCGATTTATGATTGTCATTAAAGTTTGAATTTTTATATTAAAGGGAAGCCAATCTACCTGTCTGATCAGTATAATACTATGATGTCTAATGGAAACAACAAAATTTATTGTCAAGATGATGAAAACCAAAGATTTTTTCAAAAATCAAAAGGAAAAGCCATTGTCAGGAAATCTGAAAACTCTAGACGAAGAAGCTGCTCAGGTGCACGCAATTCAGTCGCTTCACTATGAAAAAGTATACAATTTCAATCACATACAAAACTTGGGTACAAGTGGCCAAACCTTTGCAAACCTTGGAGATGCAACCAAGTGCAACTAAAGGACACACTAAAATAGGACTTCCTGATCAACACCTTTTCTGAAAAATCCTACATATTATAAATGCATCTTAAGCTTAAGTACATTCTTCTTATCTACCACTGATATTTTAAAACATTTTCAATTCCAAAATATTGCCAAATATGTTAAACTTCCTTCCAAATGATAGTGAACACATGAATAAAAAAAAATGGTTCCCTCCTCTAAAGAACACACCGTGTTTATTGTCATAATTCAACAAAAAACTTCACCAACACACTAGCAATTATCTTCAAAGCAATGCTTTAGAGTTAATGGCACTGGTGAGATCTCTGGTTCAATCCCAGCAAAGTGTCAAAAATTTTATTGTTATGTACATATTCCCATTATAAGTCTGCACTTTTGGCACATAGAGATATCCCCTCCCCAGCTAAGACCAAATTCACCCACCCTCAATAGTGCTGAAGCTGCAGCCAGGGGTTCAGACGTTGTGCACCTGGTCTTGTCCGAGCTCTAACAGCTTACCAGGAAAGGAATGAAATTGAGAGGAGAACTTAGGTTCAAGAATGGTACATAGTGTGCTAGGTAATAACACCACACAACATCCATGCCTTGCCAAGTATTGAAACCCACAGCCCAGATGTAACAAGTACTTTAGAGCTGGAAGACATTGTACCATGCAGGTCAGTCAGGAAAGGAAGGAAGAGGGTTGGAAGATTATACCTGGTGGTTGGGAGAGGCAGGATTCGAACTTGAAACCTTTCCAACTAAGACTGTCAAAGTCTTTTCATCTTAACTATTTCGTACACCCAGATCAGCTTCTTTGATTTGTTTTACAACAAGGAGTTTGCAGCTTCTGCTGGAATCTCAAAGGCCAACTGCACTGATGAGTGGTTTCCATGTACAGGACTAACCAGTGCCTTTGTATATGCGGCACAGGAAGTGCTCTATCTTGCTTTCCCATTTCTATCCCTACCCATCCCTAGACACCAATGCCCATAGCAGTTGAAACACCCTAAACATTATAATAAATAAACAATGCACAAATTTTGTACATTTAAAAAAATATTTTGTGAACAAATGCTTTTGCTTTGCTTCACAACACACAGTTGAATTTCAAAGGGGTTTAAGAAATTTCTTAAGAAGATCATCCTTTACCACAGATACAACTATTGGTATCATTTTAAATATTGTTTCACTTTAATCTGATCAAGAAAGTGTTTAAGAAGAAAATAGAGCACTTCATGCTGAACTCTTTTATTAAAAGCTTTCAGTCAAGAACACTGGTCTAAGTCGAACTATAGTGACTTCAACCACTTCGATTTTCAATCCATCGAATATCCAGCTATAAATAAGAACAACAGAAAAGTTTCTTCATACAACAAGAAATTTAGTTCAACCCATTTGAAATATAATTTTTGTCACTCTTGTATTCTGTGGTGTAGTGGTTAGGGCACTGCTTCTAAAAAAGCATTAAAAATCCCAGTCATTAAAACATGACATACAGAAACTTTTGAAGAAGTACAGAAAAATGCACAGTAAAATAATTCAAAGTTTTCAGGAGTTCCATGTAAATTCCAAATGACAGTTCACAGATGTAATACTACTTAGATGCTAATTATACCTTTACTTCCTTTACTTAATAACTCTCTACACTGTACTGCAACCCACTACGCACCTTCCTTCCACCAAAAGAAAGAACGAATGAGAGGGAGAGAAAGAACGAATGAGAGGGAGAGAAAGAACGAATGAGAGGGAGAGAAAGAACGAATGAGAGGGAGAGAAAGAACGAATGAGAGGGAGAGAAAGAACGAATGAGAGGGAGAGAAAGAACGAATGAGAGAAATAAAAATCCTATCTCATGCGCATTTGTAAAGTGCATGAGAACCTGGTCTGCAATTGTCAATTTGTAGCTAATTTCAGATGTACATTTGACACTTTCCAAGTCCAATCACTACATGGGAAAAGAATCGATATGAAATGATGGAGCCAAATGGAGAGTCTAATTGTTTAAAGTAGCTGTCACGAAAGTCTATTCATCCCATATGCAAGCAAGCACACACACCTCATGGTCTTCTTGCACACATCCACACACATGCATGAACAAACCCTGTCTAACATTTGTATAATTAAAAAAAAAAAAATTCCTTTCAATAAGTCTACTTCATATTTTTATTGTCCTTCTACACATTTTGAACTTAATTAAGAGCCCCAGTCTACTCCACAAAGATTCATCAAATGAAATCCGCATTAGAAAATTACAAAATGATATGTTGAACATTTTCCATAAAGCTGCATAAAGTAATAGACAGATGCAAAAATTCCTTACCCAACTTTCAGGAGATAAAACCAAATGGTCCCTCCTTACATCGCAATTCTTACCTAACTTCAACACTGTATCTGGGGGCTCACACTGATATGTTTTGGTATTTTGCATTTCATTCTAATGTGCACAACCACTACACAGTACAGTATACTAGGAGCAACTCACTTTGTGCCTTAATGCTCCATGAGCAGGAGTCTGATGCAGTCCATGAGGTGGAGCAGGTTGCACGTGGTGGCCAACTGCTTGCAGAGGGCTCGACGTGGGGGCACCACCCTGTAGACCCCCAGGGACCTGATGCACACGCATGCTTAGCACAAGCATATCATAGGAAAGAGGTTTTAAAGCAGTACCTCTGCATGCCAGGAAAAACGGGAGGAACTAATTCCCATTTCATTATGAAGTGAACTTTAATTTAAGTAGCAATTATGAAAATTTATTATAATATTAAAGAGTATTTCTTTTCATCACATTTCAGTTATAGCCTAAAGAATAAAAAATGAAAACCAGAGAGAAAATTATGAATATTTAACAACACACTATTCATGCGATCTTCAATGGCGTATCTTCTGTTCTTCCCAACCGGTTAGATCAATATTCTTCGGTGAAAAAAATTCGGGAAGAAAAAAAAAGAGGACAGTATTGAAGTGAGATACTGATACACCTTGAGAGATTTTGTGGATCCAAATCCTCCCGTAGAAAAAACGAAGCTCTGCTATATTTTACTCAATTGTATCAGCCAATACATTGTAAATTTAAAAATTGATCTCTTGAGGGTTTTACATTTAAAAAGCACTAAACGAATATATTCTTTACATAAAAAAAATTTTTTTTAGCAGGTTGCAAAGTCTCTATTAATCTCCTACACTAATCTTGAAAATTGGCTAACAGTAGGTTTTCTGATAGGCAGTAACCTTTGGAAATTTTAATGAACTTGTGATATGTGAAGTGAAGAAATTTAAAAGAAGCCTTACACTATGTTGGTGGAGATGTTACAGTAGCTTTTTCTTTATGTAAAACCCTGCAGAGTTCTGTATTTAAAACAACATGGCAATGGCTGCAATAAACCACAATACAGCAGTTTTCTTAGTCACAATAGAGTTTCTGTTTTTCACTGAATGATTTGGGAAGGTCTTTACTCTTGCTAGCAAGAGTACTTAGCGTGCTCATGACATAGTAAGATGATGTTATTTCAGATTATTATGACAGTTCATCGGATGTAATTGGTTTAAGACACCTTTATAAAGTAAATGGAATTCTTCCCAATCTTCTTGTGATAGTTAAATAACTACAGTGCCTAGAAGAAAAGCAGGAAACTGATGGGATTCCTGTCGTCTTTAGAATTTCTCGAGTACAGATGGCACTATTCAACAGGGATCATTGAATGTGAACAACCCAAAGTTTCATGTTAATTGTTATGTCGTTTCAGTTTGTTAGACAGTTAATTATTTAACTTGCTCGGGGTGTGGTGATGTGAACCAAATAGGTCTTAAATGTTTCACAATCAAGATCTCAACTTTTCCGTCCCAAACTTAGGAAATGCCAACATAAAGGGTGCACTACGGCAGCACACAAGTTGGGTTTAAATAAAGAGCTGAGGTGAACCCAGAACCTTGAGAATTAGGAGCACAGAGTGTTATGAAAGTTCCTCTTCAAAAAACCGATTTGATTCAAGAAAAATTAGTCATATATAATTTATTGTATTACAAATTAAATCAAATAAATTATACACAATTTACATGTGTATTTAAAAATAAGTCATTTTCTACGCATTTTGATGATTGTGGACCATTCTAAAATCTGCCAGCAGTTGTTATCCAATCATGATTTCATTATACACTCTTAAAGATCCATTAATAATCTCCAGTATATCCTTGTGAAAACATTCATCCAGTTCAGAATAGGAATAATTTTGTTTAATGTTCATCTGTCTTCCCATAAAGTCTATCAAATATATCTTCAGTGTATCAAATATATTAAAAGTGAATAGTCAACCATATTCAATGTAATCTCATATTTTCCATATACTCAAGGCTTTTTAATTTATGATGTAATAAATATAACAGTACTTTTTGTTGAATCCATAGAACAAGAGAAGGTTTTTATAATGTCTCAGAAACATTCTTAACAAAACAAAAGTTTAGCATTTGTGATTAGTGATAAAAAAAATATTTTTTTTAAACACAAAAAGGCAACTCTGAAATTTGATGCTTCAAATTCAAAACAGTATTGTATTTACATCAAAACATTATATTAGTTTGTAATTTCAATTGTTCATACAATTGAGCTCCTAATAGATTTATATATACAATTGAGCTCCATAGATTTATTATTATATATTTTTATATACATTCCACATTAAGAATAGTGTAATTATATTCGAGTAACAACTTCTGATAACTTGTCCTACAACTGAGGAGCATTATTAACCCATCAATACTTTCATCCTATTTCACAGACTAAATTATTGTGCAAGCTACATATAAACAGACTACTCCGTAACTTGTGGGGTCTAACATTTTCGGTTCACTATATCCTGATGTCAAAATTAAATAGAATTTTCTCCACAATGATTGATTTTGTTAATATAGATATAGAGCAAAATACATTAACAGGGTGAACTGAAAATTTCAATATCTTTATTTGTCTGTAAAAAAACTTATTATTTTCAATTGTTTGCTTCGTACATTTCTGAATAGTAATTTCTCTACATCCTTCTCCAGAGTTCCTGCTCTCTTCATACTTCATTTTGCATTGTCCTCTGTCTTTAAGTATCGTAACGCAGTCCTGACACCCTTCAATGCCTCTTCCACTGTTGAAACCGTCCCACTCTCAGAAGGTGCTTTTAATCACCTAATAACATACAAGATCCTTTCCGTAGCGGTGCAAGTGGCTAATGAAAGGGATTGCTTTTCCACATGGCACATTGGGGGGGGTCAGGATGAGGGGCAGTTGTACACTTTCAGTCGCCACATAGAACAACTCAATTTGTCCCGTGGAATATAACACAAAGCATGAAACTGAAGAGAGGAACCTGGCATTGCCGCCGCCAGTTGCAGCCCACACAGGACACAGCCTTTGTTTCCACAGTAAAAGTGAGTGGCTTGAGTGTAGTGAAAGAACATCAGTAAGGTCCCCATTCCAGGTCCCCTACCTTCATCTCAGGGAAGACTTCTTCAATTATGACCTTTGGCCGACTAGTTTTGCCAAGCTGCCTGTGTTGGAATTTGTGGTCCTAAGGCGATATATTCTTTTCCAGGAGAGAATTAATTTCCAGGTCATTGTAGTTCATATGTTCGTTATAGCCAAGGTTCAAGTTCATTATAGCCAAATCATCTTATTCTTATTAGTAAAATAAGTGAAATCTGACAAGTGACTAAGGTAAATTCACTATAACCGAGGGGTCACCAGAGTTCTCTATGACCAGTGAACTGTATAGCCCAAGTTATATTAGCACTAGCAAAATAAATTGAAATTTGTGTCGTAAACATTTTCTGAATACCTATTCTAATCTCAAAATGTTTATTAAGACAGGATGAAAGTCATTTAATTTTAACATATAGCATTTAATTATATCAGTGTTTTCTCTATGAAAAATGGAAGAAGTGACACCTATTAACATAAAAAATATTTTATTTCTCTGTTGTTATTTATCACAAGACACGGCCATGAGAGTTACAGTAAATTACAGTAAACAATAACAGAATATGATCGACAATAATTCATCTTTTGTATATCCTTCATGACATCCTCGTGACTTCCTTCATGTCACGAAAAACAAGAGAGTTCTCGCAGTCCACTATTTTAGGCCACACTACTTAAAAAATATCTATCAACAAAATGCTTCCTGTGAAAAGCTTGGAATCTCACAGGATGCTAAGAGTTCTTTGAAACTACTGACACCCCCACACTACTAAAACTCTGTCGAGGTTACATGCCTACGAAAATAAAATGGCTGGGCTACATGCATATCCCACGCTAGTATTCTAGGGTGAAAGCTCTTACATCACTAATAAAAAGCTACAAACTTGATTAAAATCTGTATCACATTTTTGATTAAAAAGTTAATTCCTGATCACAAAAGCTAACTTTAATATTTCACAATACCGACTTTAGTATTTTGTGCTAGAAATTGGTCCCTGCAAAAGATTCAGACCCCTCCCCAGCAGGACGACTTTCTATCTAACAATCCAGCAATGTTAAATATGAATGGTTATTTTTTAAGGCAATTAACACAATAGAATTTAAAAAAGATTAATATTTCAAACATTTTTGGGATGGAGTACATTCTTTAATCACACGGGGAATACTTTTACAACATTTAATGCAGTACAATAAGCCCAACACCAACAGTTATTTAATCACGCCATCAAATTCGTCCTTCCAAAGAATTCTACATCTTGAAACCACAAATTGAACAAACAAGAGAACGCATCATAGAGGAAATTGAGCTTGAAAAATGGTGATTAATATTTGACTATAAATATATCCTGTAAGTTCTTTAAACACAAAGATATAACATGGCAGTAGTTATGAACTTTAGTAACATTCCTTATTTTGTGCAAAAAGTTTCTTGGTAAAAAAATTCCGCAATAGGAAATGTCAATAACTTTAGCATCACTAATATAATTAGTAAAAATTTACTTCCTTCACAGCTTCCCTTTGTATATGGAAACTGTCATGCCTAACAGAAATGCAACATTCAGATACATACCTGATGTCAGGTAATTCATACGCTTTCACATTTAGCATACACCTATTTGGAATCATAATGTACACACACACACACACACACACACACCAACATGCATGCATGCAAGAGCAACATGCAATCACACACTTCCAGCACAAATTTATAGAAATAAAGAAGCAAGGTATTCATCATTCATCTTCCAGTGTGCACAGCCACACACAACCAAATTATTGCTCTAATTTGAGATAATATATTGACAAACCAATATATAACTGAACTGCCAAAGGTGTGTCGCAGAAACTAAAATTGCGAGGAAAGTAACTAACATTGTTGTACTTGATTAATTATACATTTCACATTGCTGATAGCGTTTGGAATATGTGAGACTGCTGCATAGAATTATGATTTGGGCAATGACTTATATGCATGGGCATATTCTTTGCTGTTAACTAAAACATCTCGTTTCAACAAATTTTAAAAGTTTTGAGGCATTTAGAATCTATTTAAGCTAGTTTTATTTTGCATATATCACCATAATTGCATATTTGGGTCATATTTTTGTTGCATATTCAACCCTGATCCATGAAAAGAAGCCTAACAG